GGGCAGCTGGAGGTCAGAATCAGTAAGAACCAACTTAGGAAGCCCATCATTATGATTATTGTCTCTCTAGAACCACTCTTGGTACCAAATGTGTTAGGCTCTAGAGAAGCAAAATCAGTAAAGCTTATATATGTATGTATGTGTGTGTGTGTATATATATATATATATATACACACATACATACACACCAAAAACCAAATGCACTGCTGTGGAGTTCGATCTAACTCATAGCAACCCCTCCTTGGGTTTCTGAGGTGGTATCACTATGGAAGTAGATTGCCCAATCTTCTTTCTGAGGAGTGGCTAGCGGGTTTGAACTGCCAGCCTTCTGGTTAGCAGTTAAATGTGTTAGGCACTATGCTACCAGAGCTTTTATAAAAAAAAATATATATATATATACACACACACACACACACACACAGAGAGAAAGAAAGGGAGAGAGAAAGAGACAGACAGACAGAGAGACAGAGAGAGAGAGATATTTAACTTAGGAAAATGGTTCACACACTTAAAGAAGCTGGCAAATCCCAAGTTCTTGGATCAAACATCAAGCTGGAGGCTTTTCCCGACTCATGCAGCTGCAGGGGCTCACCAGCTCAAGGTTGGCAGGCAGCACACCAGCTGTTGACTCCAACAAATGACAAATCCAAGATCGTCAGGCTGAAAGGTGGATTGTTTGCTCACAGACAGCTGTAGGCAACACACCAGGATCCTGATCCACTGAAGAGTGTCTCTTTTTCCCAGGGTGTCCATAAATATATTGGAAGCAGGCCACACCCGAAGAGAAACACCCTTTCAACGGACTGGCTGCACAAAACATATACATCCAGTCTCATCATGGGAATAACCCACATCACAACTGCTTAAACCACTCAGAATTGTAGTCCAGCCAAGATGATGGAAAATTCCAACTATCACAGTCTTCCTTATTTATTGTCCAGCTTTCACATGCATATGAGGCTACTGAAAAGACAATGGCTTGCATCATTAGTCTTGCACCTTAGTCTTCAAAGTGACATCTTTGCTCTTTAACACTTTAAGGAGGCCTTTTCTAGCAGATTTGCCCAAAGCAATAGGTCGTTTGATTTCTTGACTGCTGCTTCCATAGGCATTGCTTATGGATCTTGTTGTTGTTGTTGTTGTTATGTGCCGTCGAGTCGGCCCCAACTCATAGCGACCCCTCCTTGGGTTTCCGAGGCAGTATCACTACAGAAGTAGGATTGCCCAACCTTCCTTCCGAGGAGTGGCTTAGTAAAATGAAATCCTTCACAACTCCACGTCATACATAAACATTAACTTCAGATGGGTTGTAGATCTAAAAGTGAAAACAGTTGATATTTAGAGGAAAATATCTTCATGACCTTGAGTTAGAAAATAATTTTATAATTGGGCACAAAAATCACTAATTATAATGAGAATATTGATTATTCTTCATCAAAATAAAAAAGTTCTATTCATCAAAGAATATAATTAAGAGGGAGAAAGGACAAGCTTCAGAATGAGGGAAGACATCTGAATACAAATATTTCAAAAGGCCTTGTATACATAATAAATAATGAATCCTACAAATCAACAAAATGTGAAAGATCACAATAAAAAAATGGCCAAATTACAACAAGCATTTCACAAAAAAGGATAAAAGAGGACCTAAAAGTAGATACCAGTATACAGCAGAACTAGGCTTTTGATCCTACCTACCCCTCCACTGAAACTGCTCTAGTTAAGGTGGCCTGTGCCATGCACATCCCCTAAGTCAACAGACATTTTCCATTTCTTACCTTGTCTTTGGCCATTTGATTCCTCTCTTCTTGAAATGCTTCTATTTGAGGTGGGTTTGGAAGATGGGGTATAGGTGTGGTAAGCAGTAGGAGGCAGATTAGAGTAGTCAATAGAGTTGGTATCTAGCCATATCAACTCTTTGACAGCAGCTTAAGGGTATTATTTCATAGTATGACCCTCAAAGTTTCTAATCATTAAGTGGTATGTTAATTATGTGATCAGGCTCTTGGTAACAGTAAATTCCACTATTAAAATTTAATCAGAGATGGTAATTTTAAACATAATGTCCAATTATTCACATATAAGGGAGCTCTGGTGGTATAGTGCCTAAGACATTTGACTGGTACCAGGAGGCTGGTGGTTCAAACCCACCAGCCTCTCCTCGGAAGGAAGACTGGGCAATCTACTTCCATAGTGATACTGCCTCAGAAACCCAAGGAAAGGTTGCTATGAGTCAAATCGACTTGATGGCAATGAGTTTGTTTGTTTGTTTTATATAGGAGAAAGCTCATTATTATTATTTTTAATCCAACATCCCCTAATCAATATCAAATACTTATTCTGGCATTGTGGTAGAGGTATCTGATCTTTTCTTACCTAATTATGCATTGTCTATTTTGGCTATCAGGTCTATGGTCTGTTATGGCCTCTGGTCTAAGGGCCACAACTTTTGGGCTCATTTTGAGTATAGACTTCTTGTAGTCCTCCTAGAACACCCATGTTCTCAATTCATGGGCTTGAGAGTGCTTGACTGTTCCCCCTGTCTACACTCCATCATGCAAGGTTTTGTGAGACTGCATGACACATGTGCCAAGACAACTCCTTTAGCTGTTGTGACCTTTGCTTGAATGTCACTGAAAATGGAACTTCCCTATAAGGCTTGTGATCTAGTCTATAGCTTAGACACATAGTTCTTAGATATTCGTGAATATTTTTCATTGATCTTGAACTTCCATTATCTTTGTCTGCACCCTCTTCCAAATGAAACACAGGAAGTAGAAATGAGGTGCTGGGTACCTTCTTTGGCATAAATGCAGCATCAGAACCAATTCTCATGTTTTCAGATTCACGATTCTACCCCTTCCCAAACACCACACTGTATACCCAGTAGTTGGGATAGTTCCTGACACATAATAGGCACCCAATAAATCAACTTCACAAGGAAAATAGGCATAGTTTTTTTCCTGTGTTTGTAAATATTACATGTACTTTGCAAAGAAACGATTAAAAATACAAAAAAGGCAGAAAACAAAAAATATCTCACAATCCACCAACCCTCAAACAGCCACCATTATTTTTTTGGACACCATCTCTTCATTTCTCTCTCAAAAGTACATACAAATACATAATTTTACATAAAGAGTTTATACCATACTTGCTGCACTTACATTTTTCTTTTTTCACAGTCTCATTTTGTTTATCTTTTCACTTCCCATTTTCTACTTCCTGCCAAAGTAACCAATATTAACAGCCTGGTGGATATTCTTCCAAATGTGTCTCCATGCTCATCTAATCACATATGCATATGTGATTACACACACATATGGGACTGATCATTATTTCAATAAAAATGAAATCTTGTATTTGTACATCTTTGTAATAAAGCAATTATTTATCAATGCATTGAGCAAATTCCTTGAAGTCAACTAGTGCTAACTCATTATTTGGGAGCTCTGGTAGCATAGTGGCTAAGGCACTTGACTGCTAACCAGAAGGCTGGTGGTTCAAACCCATCAGCCACTCCTCGGAAGGAAGATGGGGCAATCTACTTCCATAGCGATACTGCCTTGGAAACCCAAGGAGGGGTCGCTAGAGTTGGGTCCGACTCAATGGCACACAACAACAACAACAACAACAACTCATTATTTAAGTGGCTTCCATGCTAACTCATAACTATGCTATATCACAATCTATTCAACTATTACCCTACTGATAAGCATTCATCTTCTCCTCCATGGATTTTTTTCCCCTCACAAGCAGTATTTCAATATTTATTTATATGTATTCTTCTGTGTTGATTTTATTGTTATGAGGCAAATTCTCAGAAGTGAGACTGCTGGGTCAAAATATATGTATATTTAAAATCTGAAAAAATATATCCCTGGATTTCTGGTGAAAATATAACTTGGTACAATTTTTCTAGGAGAGTACATGGTTCCTCAAATACTCTAAAAAAGATCTCTTAATTTTTGCCAACACAATGAGGTGCAAGTGACATTCCACTGGTATTTTAATTTGTATTGCTCTGAATATTATTTAGGAAATATTTTCATATGTTAAAGGTCATGTGGATTTGCTTTTCTATGAATACCCATCCAGTCCAGATAAATTAAATAACAATGTAAAAAATAGTATTATCAAAATCTTAGAAGTTTAGGAGACTATGTATAACCTTGGTGAAGAACACTAAATATACCATGGACTGCCAGAACAAACAAATCAGTCATGTCAGCCAGAATGCTCCTTAGGAGTGAGATTGGTGAGACTTCCTCTTGCCTACTTTGGACATATCCTCAGAAAAGACCAATCAATAGAAAAGGATATCAGCGGGTCAATAGATAAGATGGATTAAGACAGTAGTTGAGGCTCAAATATACCAATGACTGAGAGGATGGTGCAAGACTGAGCAACACTTTGTTCTGTTATACATGGGGTCACTATAAGTCGGAACCAACTTGACATCAAGTAACAAGAACATGTACAACCTAGGGATTAAAGAGACACTTTTTACTAAAAGAGTAAAGAACATAAAAAGGAAAAAGTATTTTAATATATAAAGTAAAATATTTTGTGGCTTATTTTGCTATATGTAAAAAAGTGTAAAGTCAAATTCTAGATTTAGAAAGACCTTATAACACACACGACAAAGGATTAATACCTAAAACAGATAAATATCTCCTTCAGATGGATAAGAAGACAGGCAAACCAACATAAGTGGAAAAAAAAAAAGTAAAAAATTCATAGAAGACAATTTGTTGAATGAATATGAAATCTGGATGGAAGATTTCATTTGTCCATTAATTTTTTCTAGTGTAATTTTTTTATGACCTCTAATATTTGACCAAATGCTTTTCTATACTCATTATGCTTACAGAGTATCTCTTCAATGTTATTTCTTGGTGAAATGCCTCAGAACATCTCCTCATATTCATGAAGCAGATAGTTTATAAGATTCTTCTTATGGATTTGGTATCTGAACGAATTATTTTTCTCTGTATTTATCAAGCTCCTCTCTGGTGTATTCTTTGATGTACAGTAAGGCTTGAGCTACTCCGAAAGGCTTTTCCACATTCATTACACTTATAAGGTTTTTCTCCAGTATGCATCCTTAGATGTACAGTAAAGTCTGAATTAGTTCTGAAGGCTTTTCCACAATCTTCACATTTATAGGGCCTCTCCCCCGTGTGAATTCTCTGATGTAGAGTTAGTTGTGATAAAGTAATACAACCTCTTCCACATTCCTTACATGTATAGGGTTTTTCTCCAGTATGTGTCCTCCAATGCACTGTAAGGTATGAACCTCTCCTGAAGGCTTTTCCACAAACATCACATTTATAGGGTTTCTCTCCACTATGTATTTTCTGATGTTCTGTAACATGTACCATCTGGCTAAATGCTTTTCCACAGTCACTACATTTAAATGGTTTCTCTCCAGTGTGTGTTCTCTGATGAGTGTTAAAGCCCGAGTTACTTGTGAACACTTTACCACATTCATTACATTTATAGGGTTTCTCGCCAGTATGCCTTCTTTGATGCACAGTAAGCTGTGATGTATTAGTGAAAGCTTTCTCACATTCATTACATTTATATGGTTTTTCTCCAGTATGAGTCCGCTGATGTACAATAAGGTATGACTTTGTTCTGAAGGATTTTCCACAGTCATAACAATTATAGGGTTTCACTCCAGTATGAATTTTCTGATGCTCTTTGAGATTAACCATTTTGGTGAAAGCTCGCTCACAGTCAGTGCATTTATATGGTTTCTCTCCAGTATGAATCCTCTGATGTACAGTTAAGTGTGATTTTATTCTGAAAGATTCCCCACATTCATTACATAGATAAGGTTTCTCTTCAGTATGAATTCGCTGATGTATAATAAGGGATGAAGAACGCATGAAAGCCTTTCCACATTCATTACATTTATATGGTTTCTCTCCTGTATGCATTCTGTGATGTACAGTAAGGCATGAATAATTAATGAATGCTTTCCCACATTCATTACATTTATAGGGCTTTTCTCCTGTATGAATTCTCAGATGTTCAGTGAAATTTGCTATACGGTTGAATGCTTTCCCACATTCACTGCATTCATAGGGTTTTTCCCCAGTATGAGTTCTTATATGTACAATAAGACTTGAGTTACTTCTATAGGCTTTTCCACATTCACTACATCTAAAGGGTTTCTCTCCGGTATGAATTCTCTGATGAACATTAAAAATTGTAGTATTCTTGAAAGATTTTCCACACTCACTGCATTTATATGGTTTCTCTTCAGTGTGTGTCTTCTGATGTACACTAAGATATGACTTATTCCTAAAGGCCTTCCCACAATCATTACATTTGTAGGGTTTCTCTCTAGTGTGAGTTTCCTGATGTCTTACAAGTTTTGATTTATCACTAAAAGCTTTCCCACACTCACTACATTTACAGGGTTTCTCTCCAGTTTGAATTCTCTGATGTTGATTAAGGCGAGCACACTGGCTAAAGGATTTTCCACAGACATTACATTGATAAGGTTTCTCTTTAGTATGAATTCTCTGATGTACCATAAGGGATGAAGAAGCAATAAATGCCTTTCCACATTCATTACACTTATAGGGCTTTTCTCCACTGTGAATTTTTTTATGTTGAGTAAGATATGAAGGCTGGCTGAACATTTTCCCACATTCATTACATTCATAAGGTTTTTCTTTAGTGTGGGTCCTCTGGTGTTGAATGAGTAAAGACCTATAACGAAAGGCTTTTTCACATGTACTACATTTATAGGGCTTTTCCTTATAATTAGTTTCATTTTTTAAAGTAAGTTCTGAAGTATGCCTTATGGCTTTGCTGCTTTCAGTATCCTTGCACATTTTCCTCTCCAAAGGGGTACTGGTAGCAAAATCTAAATTCTCTGTGAAACTGTCCTCATGTGTTTGGCATTTGTTGTGGGACTCCTCTGTAGTAACTTCTGGTTCTGGAAAAAGAACAGATCCAAACCTAAAGCCTCTTTGACTAGTGAGATTGTTCTTATGTGTAACCATTCTTTGACTCAAATGACTCTGCTGATTATTTTGTAATCTCAATATCCTGTCATTCCATTTCCATGCTCCTCCCAGACTGAAATCCCACAGACCATTCTCTCTAAGTTTCTCCACTATGGTCCCCTGGGATAAGTCTTCTTTTGAAAAATCCTCTGTTAGTACAACATTCTTGGTTGCCAGTTTGGTCTCCAACTCTAGAGAAAAAAAAGAAAAAAATCAAATGACTTCTGTTCTCTATATTGAGAGATATCACTAAACAAAATAATGAGACAAAGTTGGACCATAATGAATATATGGTGTCAAATGCTTGTAAATTCTTCTTGTTTTCTAGGAACAAAGTAGGGCTAAGGTGAGCTGGTTAAGCAAACAACCAAAGTAGTAAAATAAGTGAGATTTTACTTAGTAAGAAAATGTAAGTCTCTCAATTATTTCTTCCTTTTCTTACTCCCTTTAGAGCCATGTTTCCTTAGAGAGTGCTCTTCATAGGTTATTGCTTCCCATTTACTCCACAAATCAGACATTTCTACACAAACATAATTTCTAACTATTTTCATTCTCTATCCACTAACATCTTTTTGTGAAGGTTTTCTCAAATTTCCCTGACAGAGCAGCTTATTCAGGTCTTTGTACTCACCTTTTTATAGATCTGTTATGGAAGAAAATAATTTGCGTTTCAAAAAGTGGCTGAACAAATGGATCAAATTAATAAAATAAAATAAAAAAAATAAAAGTTAATGACAGTTCTAACAGTGATTATTACTGGTTATCAAGGGTAGCTCTAACATTTTATTTATTCTAAAAGAACCTTTCTTTTTTAAAAATTAATATTGTGGGGTGGTCTCACAACTTGTTTTTATATTCAATCCAATAGTTTGCTTTATTTTAAAAAATACTGTGACAATTTTTAAAATTTCTAATTCATTTTGAGGTAATTACCCCTTAAATGTTTAAAATTAAATTGGGTCAAAAGCATTTGTGTATTCTGCTGTCATTATTATTACTAGGTGCCATTGAGTTGGCTCTGACTTATAGTGACTGTGTGTACAACAGAACAAAACACTGTCTGGTCCTGCACCAGCCTCACAATCCTTGTTATACCTGAGCCCACCATTGCAGCCACTGTGTCAATCCATCTCTTGAGGGCCTTCCCCTTTTTTGCTAATCCTCCACTTTACTAAGCATGATATCCTTCTCAAGGGAATGGTCCCTTTTTGACAATGTGACGAAAGTAGGTGAGATGATGTCTGGCCATTATTGCTTCCAAGGAGCACTCGAGCTGCACTTTTTCCAGGACAGATTTGTTAGTTCTTCTGGCGATCCAGAAGAATACTTTTAGTATTCTTTGCCAACACCACAACTGAAAAACGTCAACTCTTCTTTGGTCTTCCTTATTCATTGTCCAGCTTTCACATGCATGTGAAAACACCATGGCTTGGATTAGGAGCATTTTAGTCTTCAGAGAGACATCTTTGCTCTTTTGCACTTTAAAGAGCTCTTTTGCTGATATGCCCAGTGCCAATTCATCATTTGATGTCTTGACTGCTGCTTCCATGGGTGCTGATTGTGGAACCAAGTAATGTGAAATCTTTGGTAACTTCAATATTTTCTCCATTTATTGTGAGGCTGCTTATTGGTCCAGTTGTGAGGATTTTTTTTTTTTTTTTTTTTTAATTTTAAGGTGTAATCCATACTGCAGACTGTAGTCTTTAATCTTCACCAGTAAAGCTGCACTTTAATCAAGCAAGGTGGTGTTGTCTGCATATCACAGATTGTATGAGTCTTCTACCAATCCTGATGCCAAGTTATACTTCATACAGTCCAGCTTCTCTAATTATTTGTTCAGTATACAGATTGAATAAGTCTGGTGAAAGGATACAACCCTGACACACTCCCTTCCAGATTTTAAACCATGTAGTATCCCCGTGTTCTTTTCAAACAACAGTCTCCTTATCTATGTATAGGTTCTCTATGAGCACAATCAGGGGTTCTGAATTCATATTCTTCTCAATGTTATCCATAATTTGTTATGATCCACACAGTTGAATGCTTTTGCATAGTCAGTAAAACACAAGTAAACATCTTCCTGGCATTTTTTGCTTTCAGCCAACATCCATTTGACATTAGCAATGATATTCCTCATTCCATTTCTTGGCTCTCTAGTGCTGCTCTAACAGAAGATAGCACAAATGGGTGGCTTTAACAAACAGGAATTTATTCTCTTACAATTTAGGAGGCTAGAAGTCTGAGTGCCAGTTCTAGGGGCTGGATAAAAACCCCTCAACCTTGGGCTTCAACTCTGCCTCTTGCTCCCAGGCCACTGAAGCTAGAGGCTTCTTTTAACTCAGACAGCTGCTAGCAGCTGAGGCTGACAAACCCAAGGTTGACAAATAAAATGGCACAGTCCCAAGACTACCAAAAAACATGAGAGGCGTTTAGTTCAAGTCCAGAGACAGTCTCAAGATTGGCAGGAAACATGGCAGGGTGCTGAATGAAGACTCAGCTACGTTCAGGGTACAAGCATGCCAAAACACTGCAGAGACCTTTCCCAAAGCTGCAAATATACTAGAAGCAGACCACATTCCTAAGGCAGCTACTCAGCTGCTCCAGTAAATTCCACCATGGAGTTAATTATCAACCTAATCATGGGGAATAACCACATCTAGCTGTCCAGTCACTCAAAACCAGGCTTCACCCACTTGACACATAACCTGAACTACCACACACATCCTTTTCTGAATCCAGCTTGCGTTTCAGGAAGTTCCCTGTCAATATACTGCTGCAACTGTTTTTGAATTATCTTCAACATGATTTTACTTGTGTTGAATAATTTCATTATTCGATAATTTCCACATTCTGTGGGATCATCTTTCTTTTGAATGGGTACAAATATGGATTGCTTTCAGTCAGTTGGCCAGTTAGCTGTCTTCCAAATCTCTTGCACAGATGAGTAAGTGCCTCCAGCAAGGCATCCGTTTGTTGAAACATCTCAATGGGTATTCTGTCAATTCCTGAAGCGTTGTTTTTTCACCACTTCCTTTAGTGCAGCTTCAACCTCTTCCTTCAGTATCATTGGTTCTTGATCATATGTCACCTCCTGAAATGGATGAACACTGATCAATTCTTTTTGGTATAGTGAGTCTGTGAATTCCTTCATCTTCTTTTGATACTTCTTGTATCATTCAATATCTTGCCCATAAAATCTTTCAATATTGTAACTCGAGGATTGATTTTTTTCTTCATTTCTTTCAGCTTGAGAAATGCTGAGAGTGTTCTTCTCTTTTGGTTTTCGAACTCCAGGTCTTTGCACATTTCATTATAATAACTGACTTTGTGTTCTGGAGCTGCTCTTTGAAACCTCTTCAGCTCTTTTATCTTGTCATTTTTTCCATTTGCTTTAGCTACCCTCCTTTCAAGAGCAAGTTTTAGTGTCTCTTCTGGCATCCATTTTGGTCTTTTTTTTCTTTCTTGTCTTTTGAATGACATTTTGCTTTCTTCATATATGAAGTTCTTGATGTTGTTGTTGTTATGTGCTGTTGAGCTGGACCCAACTCATAGTGAGCCCTCCTTGGGTTTCTGAAGTGGTATCACTACAGAAGTAGATTGCCCCATCTTCCTTCCGAGGAGTGGCTGGTGGGTTTGAACCACCAGCCCTCTGGTTAGCAGTCAAGTGCCTTAGGCACTATGCTACCAGAGCTCTTGATATCATCCCACAATTCATCTGGTTTTCAGTCACTGGTGTTCAGTGCATCAAATCTATTCTTCAGATGCTCTCTAAATTCAGGTGGGATATAATCAAGGTCATATTTTGGCTCCTGTGGACTTGTTTTGTCTTCAGCTTCAACCTTAACTTGCATATATGCAATTGAAGGTCTGTTCCACAGTGGATTCGAGAATGGTTTAATGACTTTGACCTTTGAGCAATATATTTTATCTAATGACCTCTGGTGGTGCTGTGGTTAAAGCATTGGGCTGCTAACCAAAAGGTCAGAATTTCAAACTCACCAGCCACTCCACAGGACAGAGATTAGACAGTCTGCTTCCATAAACATTTACAGCCTTAGAAACTCTAGGGGGCAGTTGTATTCTGTCCTATAGAGCCACTATGAGTCAGAATTGACTCAATGGCAGTGGGTCTGTTTTACATTTTATCTAGGTTATTTTGACTTTATAAAATTTAAATTCCTTTTCTGTCATAATGTTGTTGTCGTTTTAACCATTGAAATAAATATTTTTATTTGCTCTAGGGCATTATATTGTATTTAATTAACTTTTATTTTCCCTGTCAGAATAAAAGCTATAGAAAACACATATGTAACTCCAATGTGGAATTCAGGAACCAATAATGAGTTTAAAATGTAAAAACAGAAGGAATTTGGAACGTTGACAACTTCACTTTAAAATTCACTAAAAAATTATAAAATATCATTAGGGCATAGAAAAGTTATTATTTTATTAGAAATTTTCATCTTTAACACACATATTTTCAGTAACTTCACTATATATGTGAGCCAAATCCTCATCTATCTTGAGTGAAAGTAAAATCTCATCCAAAATAACAAGAAGCAGAAATAAAAAACATTTATTTCAATATCCTCATCTTTCTTGAGTAGAAGTAATATGTCATTGCCAAATAAGACGACGAAGTAAAACTTAAAAAAATTTACATTTGTACTTTGGAACTATCAGATTGGGTAATTTGGATGAAAATTATTGCTGAAAACAATTAGAAAAGTTGGGAAA